GCAGCCCTTTCAGTTTCTTTTTTGCTAAGGCTTGCAGAGATGCAAATTCGAATACTGGGTTCTATATTATACATTTCTTGCGCATATACATATTTCGCGCGAGTCAAAAGAACTCCATTATTCATTGCCTTAATTAATTAATAAATAAATAAAAATATTATTATTATTATTATTATTATTTTAAAGACAAATGAGTAATTAAAACATACCTCATCAACAATTTCTTGAAGAAATTTTTCCTTTTCTTCTATACTATTAGCTTTTACATTTTCGTTCAATCTTATATGAAACACAGGAGAATCGGGACAACCAGCAATTGTAACGTATTTCGCATTCGACATGTTACTTTTAAAAGTACTTGCATTTGATAAAATTTTAGCTGGAAGATGTGGATTTCTATCCAAATTTCTAACAGATTCAGTAGCACATGCTGAAAGCACAGCAGGCAAAGCAGCAGAATAACAATATGCAGGACCAGAAATACGCTACAAATGACATACTAAAAATAAGATACTAAGATTCAAATTAAACATTTTAATATATAATTTAAACTATATAAACCTGATGATCAGTGATCTCAAATGAACCGGAACAAAAACCACCAGAAGAACATAATGCAGTGCACATGGAACCAACGATCATGTCAACATCTTTTGGCTACAGCGAATAGGCGAGTAGTAAGGTAATGAGTAATGCGATATTTGTAAATAAATGTAAACCATAATTTAAATATTAAAAGATAATGACTTACATTGATATTGTAATAATCAGTTAATCCAGCACCACGTTTACCCAATGTTCCAATTGATAGACTTTCGTCAAGAATAAGTCGATATTTGAACTTTTTCTTTAACTCAAGCTAAATTAAAATTTAAAGATACAAAGATATATTTAAATATGGAGAATGGTGTAATATAACATCTACAAAGACATGTTTGCATACCAGTTTGGGTAGTTGAGCAATTTTGCCAGAATTCTCGAATATGCCTTCAGTGACGATGAATCTTCTTGTGAGCCTTCTTCCAGACTAATGATAATTATTTATTTGTTTAAAAATTATAATAACATTATAAGTAAAATCAAGAATATAAAT